GGAGAAGGCGGGGCCCGAGCTGCGGACACGGGGCGCGGGCGTGAGCGACGGCCGGCCGGACAGACCGACGGACAACACGCCCGGCCTCCCCCCCAGCCCGGCCTCCACCCCGCACGGAGAGCAGGCAAACACCAACTCCACCGTGTCTGTCGCACGGGGGCTCAGGGACGGCCCCGAGTTCACCCGGGACTGGCCAGAAAAACACCCACTTGGTAAAGCAAGCTCCGTGAGTGTGCACGACATACATGTGCGTCTACACGTGCGTGCGATGAGCGTGTGCACGACATGTGCGTCTACACGTGTGCGTGTGATGAGCGTGTGCACGACATACATGTGCGTCTACACGTGCGTGCGATGAGCGTGTGCATGACATGTGCATGTACATGTGTGCGTGTGATGTACACACGCGCGTATGTTCATATACACATGTATGTAGATGTGAATTTATATAACATGTATGTGTATGTATAATATATACGGTATAGTCACATCTTATATATAACTATAATTATGTCTAACATGGTTACATAAGATACATGGCTGTATATATATATGGTTATACATTTGATGTGTATTTGATGTTTAGATGTAATATTTGTGTATATCTATATGCTGAGGTGTATGTACACAAATAAAATACGCGTGTACTCGCATAGATACACATACACGATACACAATGTATAATATATACAAATGCATGAATACCCTAGCTCATTATTTTCTGTGACATTCTGTATGTCTACTGTGCTGAAATGTAAGATTTTTATTCTTAAAACACCCAGTAAGATGAGTGCCGGCGGCTCCCGCCTGTCATCCCAGCGACTCAGGAGGCTGAGATCTGAGGATGGAGGTTCAAAGCCAGCCCGGGCAGGAAAGTCTGTGAGACTCTGATCTCCACTGAACCACTAGAAAACCAGAAGTGGCGCTGTGGCTCAAGTGGTAGAGTGTCAGCCTTGAGCAAAAGAAGCTCAGGGACAGCGCCCTGGCCCTGAGTTCAAACCCCAGGACTGACAAAAAAAACCCCAAACACCCACCAGAGGGTAGGTCTGATGGCTCGTGTCTATACTCAGCTGATCAGGAGGTGGAGTTGGGGTGGGGGGAGGATCATGATTCAACATCAGCCCGAGGAAACAGCCAACCAAGACCCCACCTGAACAGAGCACACAGCGGGGCGCAGCGGTTCACCCACAGATCCCGGCTAGCCCTGGGATCCGAATGTGAGGCCAGAAGCCACCCAAGAGCATGCAGGACCTACCTAAGAAATAACCAGGGCTAGGAGCATGGCTCCGGGGTAGACATCTTGCCTAGCAAGAGCAAAGCAAATGGAAACAAAAACACGTTCCGGAAAGCCCACACTTCATCTGACCTTGTTTAACTCTGTGGCCCAGTCAGCCCAGGCCTGAGTCCCGCAGCCGAGCACACAAGGTCTGCTGCGCATCCCCTGTTCAACAGCGTGGCCCGGCCTCGCGTTTTAGGTTTCTTCGTTGGTGGTGGTGGTGGTCACGGGTCTCGAACTCGGGGCCTGGGCTCTGTCACTGAGCCTCTTTAGGCTCCAGGCGAGCGCTCTACCACTTGAGCCACAGTGCCACTTCCCAAGAGTGTCCTGGGCCTCCCCGCCCAGGCTGGCCTCCAACCACGATCCTCGGCGCTCAGCCTCCGAGCAGCCGGGATGAGGGGCAGGAGCCACGGTGCCTGGCTGTCAGCAGGTTTTGCTTTGATGGCGTGGTGTGACCCTGCACCCCCTTTCCCCCGTCACGGTGCTGTCTGGGATGAACTTACAAAGATGACACGTCCCACTTGGGTGGAGCGCCCTTCTTCTCAGAGAGGCTGGCCTTCCTTGTTCTTTCCACCGTCTCTTCTCCAGCAGGCTCTGAATCCACTTGGGCTCTGCAAACAAGCACTGGGTTCAGACAGTGGAAATCAGTACTGCTACTCTCCACTCTTCAGCACCTATGGTGGTGCTTCACCGTAAGACTCAGTATCCATGAGTGTTGGTTTTGCGTGCTAAAATGTTGACATCTAATTCTAAAAGATATGTCATCAGCTGTGTAGGAGTGTGTATGTGTGTGTGTGTGTGTGTGTGTGAGAGAGAGAGAGACACAGACAGACAGACCTGAGATTTGAACTCAGGGCCTGGGCGCTGTCCCTGAGCTTTTGTGCTCAAGGCTAGCGCTCTGCCACTTGAGCCACAGCACCACTTCCAGCTTTTTTTTTTTTCTGGCTAATTGGAGATAAAAAGTCTCATGAACTTTCCTACTCCAGGCTGGCTTTGAACCATGATCTGCAGAACTCAGTCTCCAGAGAAGCTACAATTATAGGTGTGAGCCACCAGCACCCCGCTGTAGGAATTTAATTGAAAATTAGCTTTCTCAGTCGAGTCTGGGTGGTTTGAGCCACTCAGGAGGCCTGAGATCCGGAGGATCGCCAACCCAAGACTTCAGGAGAGTCCACTTTCAACTAATCAGGCAGTAGATCAGCAAGAGGTGTGGCTCAAGGGGTAACAGCGTCATCTGTGAGAAGAAAAGTGTATTGATCTCCAGGCCCTGAGTTCAAGTCCAGGTACTGGAACAGTAGCCAAAGATACACAAAAGCAGAAACTCATCAGTAACCAGTATTAATAACAGATTTCTTTCTCTACACATACACACACATTTACATATCTATAAAAAATGTGAATACCATTTTTCTTCCTTGGAAACACTAAAATTTTTTCTCATAAAACATTCTTCTAGGGGCTGGGAAGGTAGCTCAGTGGTAGAGCGCTCGCCTTGCATGCTCGAGGCCCTGGGTTCGATTCCTCAGCCCCACATAAGCAAAAAAGAAAAAAGCCGGAAGTGGTGCTGTGGCTCAAGTGGTAGAGTGCTAGCCTTGAGCTGAAGAGCTGAGGGACAGCGCCCAGGCCCAGAGTTCAGGCCCCACGACCGGACCAAAAAAAAAAAAATTCTTCTAGCACACAGTTTTCAGTATCCCGTATTCGCTGTTGATTTTATTTCCTCTGAACGATCGTTGATCACGTGGAATAAAATCAATGTCATTTCTTTCTCTAAGAATTGTATGTATTCATTTATTTTGTTAGTCGTGTCGGTTCCTGAACGCTTTTGCTCAAGGCTGGTGCTCTACCACTTGAGCCACAGCGCCACTTCTGTCTCTTTTGGGTGGTTCACTGGAGCTAAGTCTCATAGACTTTCCTGCCCTGGCTGGCTTTGAACTGTGATCCTCAGATCTCAGCCTCCTGAATAGCTAGGATGACAGGCATAAGTAGGTGGAGATTTTTCTTTTTTTTTTGGGGGGTCCGTGGTGGGGCCTGAACTCTGGGCCTGGGCGCTGTCCCTCAGCTCTTCAGCTCAAAGCTAGCACTCTACCACTTGAGCCACAGCGCCACTTCCACCTTTTTTCTTTTTGCTTATGTGGTGCTGAGGAATCGAACCCAGGGCCTCAGGCATGCAAGGCAAGTGCTCTACCACTGAGCCACCTTCCCAGCCCCTGAGATTTTTACTTCTGTGGGTCATCATTGAACTTTTCCTCTGACGGCAGACACCTGACATAGGGAAGAATTGACCAGCGCAAAATCTGTAAAAGTCAAGCACTTGCCTAATTGAAGATCACAAACGTGAATTACAACAACAAAAATCAACCACCAGGGTCTTCTGCTGTCATCATAGCAACTGAGGAGGCTGAGATCTGAGGATCACAGTTCAAAGCCAGCCCAGGCCAGGAAAGTCCATGAGACTCTTATCTCCAATGAACCACCAGAAAAGCCAGAAGTAGAGCTGCGGCTCAAGCGGTAGAGCTCCAACCTTGAGTGAAAAAGCCACAGGAGAACACTGAGTTCTAACACCACCACGCACACATGAAAAGAGCTAAGACAAAAAAAAAGTAAATATTCACCTATGACATGGAATGCTGTACGACTGTCAATGAATTGTCCTCAGAGTGCAGCATTGGTCTCTCCACGGAATTTCATACCCAGTGTTTATACCCTCTCCCCAGTCTCCAGTTCCACCTACTTGAGCTCTTGCTTTTCATCCTCCGTGTCTGCCCAGGAGTAGGTGCTAATGAACCGGTACAGTGACGGACGGTGCTCACTCTGCTTGGACCCCAGTGCCCGCCTGTACGAAGAAGATGAGCTGTCCAGCAAATCAGATGTCTGTTCAGTGCAGATCATGTATTGCCTCACATCAACACAGACGTGACTCCACTGTCTCCCCACCACGCTTCCTTCAGTGCCAGGAGTCCACCCCAGGCTTTGCCCTCTGAGGAAGTAGCGACTATCCCAAAGGCTGATCCAGTTCTCACACGAGAAGGTCCCCCTCGGTGAGTGGCCAAGTCAGACTTACCAACTGCTGGCCCTTCTGCTGAATCGGTCACCGCTGTCCAGCCCGGCAGCCTGCAGCAGATCAGACATTAAAGAACAAAACAGGCATGTGACAAGGGACATCTTCTTGTTAGACAAAAATGAATGTGCGTTTGAGCAAAACCCAGGACATTTGCTTACCATGCCTGCACTGCCGAGGCTTCTGGGTAAAGAAGCAATCGTCACTCTCCGGAGGGAAGACGGCTGGCCAAAGGTGGAAATGGACATTGAGATCATTCTCCAGGCCTGGGCGTGGGTGGCGTATTCCCTGTCATCCTAGCTACTCAGCGGGCAGAGAGCTGAGGATCCCAGTTCAAAGCCAGCCTGGGCAGGAAAGTCTGTGAGACTCTCATCTCCAGCTCACGTCCCGAAAACTGGAAGTGGTGCTGTGGCTCAAAGTGGCGGAGCACCAGCCTTGAGCAAAAGCAGCGCAGGGACAGTGCCCAGGCCCCGAGTTCAAGCCCCAGGACCAACACTGATGGTTGTCTTTGAGGATGTAATTTAAAGGCTTGCTTTCCTGTGATTCCGGCCATGGGGCTTGAACTCAGGGCTTGGGCGCTGTCCCTGAACTGCTTTTTGCTTTTTGCTTAAGCACTGTACCATTCATGCCACAGCTCCACGTCTGCTTCTTAGTGGTTAACAGGTAATAACAAGTCCCATACACTGTCCTGCTGGGCTGGCTTCAAACTTCAATCCTCTGACCTCCGTCTCCTGAGTAGCTCGTATGAGAGCTGCGAGCCACCAGCGCCTGACTTGGAAAGGCTCTGAATGAACAACTTGCCGCTGACTTTCATTTTAACCAATTGTATTCCACTTTTCCCAACACCACAGTATTATTATTTGCCCACGAAGGAATATAGAAGTTTCTTTTTATTTAATTGACTTCTAGTAATAAACCTTGTTTTTCCCTCTGGAATACCAGGACTTTCCAACTCTGAGAACCACCAACCCTTTCTATATTGTTACTTTTATTTTTCTAAATTGTCATGCCTTTACTGTTGTTATAAGAGGGTTTACTATATCTCATTTTATTAGTTATTTTGGTCAGTCTTGGGGATTGAACTCAGGGCCTGAGCTCTTTTGCTCAAAGCTAGCACTCTACCACTTTGAGCCACAATTGCACCTCCAGTTTTCTGGTGGTTTATTGGAGATAAGAGACTCATGGCCTCTTCTGCTCAGGCTGGCTTTGAACCGTGGTCCTCAGATCTCAGCCTCCTGAGTAGATGGGATGACAGGCGGGAGCCACGGGTGCTCAGCTACCGTATTTTATTTTTATGGAAGAAAACTTACATCATTAACCCAACTAAGTGGAGTCTCCTGTTTTTCTTGCTATCATTGATTTTATGCTAGAACAGATTTCCCTCAACTTGGGTAAATGTACATCTACATTTAGAGTTTTCTCCTTATTTTTTCCATTGAAGACTTCTTTCTTTCTTTCTTTCTTTCTGTCAGTCCTGGGTCTTGAACTCAGGGCCTGGGCACTATCCCTCAGCTCTTCAGCTCAAGGCAAGCACTCTACCACTGAGCCATCTTCCCAGCCAGATTTCATAATGTTTTCTAGGAATGGACACACACACACACACACACACGAAGTATGTATATATATGTATAATATGTATAGACCTGCATCTATACACACATATGTGATGTGTATGTGTGTATATACATTTCTCTGCACACATATGAATTGAAATCAGTTTCAGTAGTTACATTGAAAGGTTATAACTTCAAACTACATCTGAAAACTAAGCATTTCATGCTAAGCAAGTGCCTGAGTACTTACCTTAGAGTTTAGAGATGCGGAGCGTTTTTTAATTTGGCAGTCATCTGAAAGGGGGGAAATGGTTGCACATTTTAGAAGGCATACGTGCAAATCTGTGTTAAAGCAAAGGTCAGCGTGACGAGGTATTAACTCATAGGCAATACGAATATCCATCTCCTTCCTTCCTTCTCTCCTTCCTTCCCTCCTTCCTTCCCTCCTTCCCCCCTTCCTTCCTTCCTTCTCTCCTTCCTTCCTTCCTTCTTTCCTTCCTTCCCCCCCCTCCACTCTCTCTTTTCTTTCTTCTTCTTTTGGCCAGTCCTGGGGCTTGAGCTCAGGGCTTGTGCACTGTCCTTAGCTTTTTGCTCAAAGCTGGTGATTTACCACTTGAGCCACAGATCTACTTCGCACATGTTTGCTAGTTAATCGGAGATCAGAGTCTCACTGACTTTCCTGCTCAGGCTTGCTTCAATCCGTGATGCTCAGATCTCAGCCTCCTGACTCGCTGGAATTACAGGCGTGAGCCACCAGCGCCTAGCTCAAATACCTTTATTCTTAATTTATTCTTAACTTAGAGATCCCTCCACTGGTAGATGGAATCCTATGTGCTCAGGCCAAAGTCCACAGAGCCACTGGCTCGGCTGAGCAAAGAAAGGAAAGGTCCAAAACTGCTTATTTTAAAAACAGCAGGGGCTGGGAAGGTGGCTCAGTGGTAGAGCGCTTGCCTTACACGCATGAGGCCCTGGGTTCGATTCCTCAGCACCCCATAAGCAGAAAAAGCCGGAAGTGGCGCTGTGGCTCAAGTGGTAGAGCGCCAGCCTTGAGCTGAAGAGCTGAGGGACAGTGCCCAGGCCCAGAGTTCAGGCCCCACGACCGACAAAAAAACAAAAATTAAAACAATCCAAACAGAACAAAACCATACGCTGGGCCATCAGCTGTAATCCCAGCGACTCAGCAGAGGGAGAGCAAGCCCTGGAGTAATGTGTTTCGAAGACAGCGAGGGCAGAAAACTCCATGAGACTCCATCTCCAATCAGTCAGCAAAAAGTCAGGCTGGAGGTGTGATTCAAGTGGTAGAGCGCCACCACGCAAAATTGACAATGAATTCCCTGAGCCATCATCAAAGACTTCTTCAGGTCTTGTGATCTGTTCTCTGGAGTTATGCTTGGAGCTATCTAATAAACAGGAACCTGTTATTTTTTCTAACAGTTGGTGTGTGTATGTGTGTGTGTTCCTTGGATTTGAACTCGGGGCCTCAGGCCCCCTCAGCTTTCTTACCAATGGCTGGTGCTCTACCACTTGAACCACGCCTCCAGTCAAGCTTGTTCGTGATTAATTGCTCCGTCATTATGATCATTGTTATCATTACCCTTAAGGAGCGGTATGAAGGAAGGGGTTGCAATTCAGGGTGTCTGTGCCTGTTGATTCATGTCATCCTTCTTCCCATCCCCTCCCTCCCTCCCCCCTTCCCTAACGTTATCTGGCTTCATGCTCACCCATACTTCAAATCCCATGACTGTAATCACCCACGCCTCCCCTCTCCGCACATCGACCCCGCTGTCTCTGCCACACATCTTCCAGCTTTCTGGCATTCATGTTGATAAAGTGTAAATCATTCTCACCATTGGAATCCTCCCCTCCCAGCCTATTCTCGGGGGTCAGTTTGTTTCTGCATACGTGTGTCTACACATATACTTATCATTTAGATAGGCTTTCCACATGTGACAGAAAACTCGAGTCCTTTGTGTCTCTGAGCCTGGATTACTTCATTAAAATACGTTTTCCTAGGTTCATCCACTTATGTGCAAATACAGTGGGTGAGCAGACTTCCATTATATCTAATATGTGCACTTATTATTATATATATATATGTGTGTGTGTGTATAGTGTATCTTTATTTCTATGTATTACATGTTCTCGATCCACTCATCTATGATAGGGCATCTGAGCTGTTTCCATAGCTTAGCTATGGCGAATAGTGTAGCAATGAACATGGTTGTGCAATTGTCTCTCCTATATCTTTTGGATATAGGCAATTGGCTAACTTTGAACTGTAATGATCAGATCTCAGCCTCCTGAGTAGCTGGGGTTACAGGTGTGTGCTACTGGTGTCCAGCTTTATTTTCCTAACAAAATTTTAACTTAAGGAGTTTTATTCTAAGACAATAAGACAGAGCCTGAAAAAAAGGAAGACTATTATGAAAACCATAACATCATGTTAAATTTAAATATGACTCTCTGAATACTAGGCAATCTACTACGTTAATGCTCTATTACCATCGTCTTCCAGAGGGTTAAAGGACCTTTCGTTCTGCAGAAGAACCAGTCTCAGCTCTTCTAGCTCAGCATGCTCCTTAGCATACATTCTCTTCAGGTTTTCTACATGCTGAATCATTACTTCGACAGCTTTGCTCACCCGGCTTTCCTACGAGGAGAAATGAAATGACATTGCTATTGGAAATACCACTCTCCATACTTAGCTCAGTAATAGGGATGACCTCCACTCCATCCCTAAATCCAACTAAAATGGCCATCAAGGTGTTGGAGGGGACAAGAGAAAACAGAGCGGAAACGGTCCACTAGCAGTTGGTTTTGCCACGCTAGATAGTTCAAGAACGAAATGAGAGATCATTAAAACTCAGAAAACAGACGCCTTCAGAATCAGTTAAAAAAAGTCAAGAAACAGTTATCTAGAGAAAAAAAAAATCCCAGATGCTTAAGGATGCGGGACAACCTGTATTTAGGAGGCTGAGATCTGAGGATCACAAATGGAAGTCAGGCTGGGCGGACACAGTGGAAAGAAAGACTCCTTCAACCGACTAACGTGAAAGGCTCAGCGTGGGGAATCGCTGACGTGGTGGAGCTCCAGCCCGAAGTCAAAACACCAAGGGAGTCTTGAGGCCTAGCGCTCAGGCTCCAGCACCAGCACACACACACAGACAGACACACAGACACACGACTGAAGGTGAATACGTGACAGGAAGAAAATCTAGAAACAACGAGAGCCCAAGATCCCCTCTTACTCCAGCCAGCAGAGTCTCGCCGCCATTTTGGCAAAGACTCTGTGGTTATCCACTGAGGGCTGGAGCAGAATAAATGGTGGGTGGTGAGAGTTAGCGCCCTGGAAACAGATTCCAGAACGTGGGGGCATCAATGGCGCAGCACCGTCTCTGCCCACTCTATCTTCCAGCCCCCGTACCCCGCAGGGTTTGGAAGCCGATGGAAGGCCAGGATGGAATACTCTGTACGGAATGTTCTAGGTGGAAGAGTCCATCTTGAGTCAAGCTCAGAGTGAGCAAGAACCTGTTCCCCAGACAACACGAGACACGACTCCCAGCCATGTTGCGTCGTGTCACCTCCACTGAGAAATCAGGGCAAAACTGGAGCATGTGGGCTCACACTCCTGAGAAGACTCCAGAAGGCTGGACTGTTATAGAGAAGACGGACGGAACTCACACCATTCACAAGAGAAGAAGCAATGAATGCTGCGCCCCCCCGCCCCCCAGGCCGGTCCATCCATGCTGGACAACCGATTTCCAAGCCGTAGCACGGGCGAGCGGAGAAGGTGGTTAACACAGCTCGTGAATCTGGCCAGTGAGAGGAACGAAGCCAGGCAGAGGACCAGATTGAAGACAGGAATGTCGCTGGGGAGTCTGAGCCTTGGTCGGGACCTGGAGGACGAAGCGGGGGAGTGACTGGAAAAGGACTGGAAGCGACGGCTGAAGGCCGAAGAAGGCGAATCACTGAAATCCAGCGTGAGCGTGTTATGTAGCAAATAGCAGACAGACAAATATAAAACATAAAACAAAGAAGAATCGAAGGGACTTAGTCTAGAACTTAAAAACAAACAAGCGCTGGTACATGTAACTTCACTACCAAACAGGCAAGAAAGGCTTTATGGAGGGCCAGACCAGCACACAAGAATAGACCAGAAAGGCTGGGACTAAGCTGACCACCAAGCCTCAGCCTCTTCCTTCTTTTTTTTTTTTTTGGCCGGTCGTGGGGCTTGAACTCTGGGCCTGGGCGCTGTCCCTCAGCTCTTCAGCTCAAGGTGAGCGCTTTACCACTTGAGCTATAGCGCCACTTCCGGTTTTCTGGTGGTTTATTGGAGATAGGAGTCTCACGGTCTCTCTTGCCTGGGCTGGCTTTGAATCGCGATCCTCAGATCTTAGCCTCCTGAGTAGCTAGGATTACAGGCGTGAGCCACCAGCGCCCGGCTTCAGCGTCTTCCTTCTTAAGGAAATGCTTTTTACTCAGTCTGTTTGGCCTGGATGTTGAGAAGTTAATTCTCCTCAGATTTTTCCAGACAGAAATTCGGGAATCTTAACCTCCAGACGGATCAGGGCACAACGGCACATGTACAAAGGAATTTATGGGGGCCTTGTCTCCTTCAGTGGGACATCCAGGATGTCTGAGATGATCAAATATTTAAAAAATTGGTTAGATGCATCATAGATATTTAACCTATAGAATGCCACGTAAAGGAGACATGTATATATATATATAAACACGTGCACATATGTAGATATATATACACATGCATATGCATGTATATACAGCTATGTATACAGGTATAGACACACATACACACATGCATACACATACACACATGTGCATGCATACACACGTGCATGTACACACATGTATAAATAAATGTGTATATGTGTAGATTTGCATGCATATGTACATATATGCATATATGCATTCAGGTATAGGCACACTTACACACATGTATACAATATACACATACAAATGTACATACATGTACATATATGCATGCACACACATATATGTATATAAATAAATGTGTATATGTAGATATACATGCATGTGTACATATATACATAGATGTATACAGGTATAGACACAATACATGTACACACATACACACATGTATGTGCACGTGTACGCATATGTGCATGTACGTACATGCATGTTACATGTGTATATATATATATATATCTTCATCCCATGGAAAGTTGTCCGTGCTATTCAGAGAAATAAAAAGGTGCCGCATGCCGGGTGCTGGCGGCTCACACTTACAATCCTCGCTACTCGGGAGGCTGGGATCTGCAGTTCGAAGCCAGCCCATGAGACTCTCACTCCTAATGAACTACTCCTGAAAAGCCGGCATGGGGCCGTCGCTCAGTGGTAGAGCACCAGCCTGGGGGACAAAGAGGCTCAGAGGCGAAGCTCAGGCCCTGAGTTCAAACCCCAGCGCGGAGCCCACCCCCAGCAGACACGGAGGGGATGGGAGTGTGCGCTGCACGGCTCCCCATCACCCACGGCCCCCAGACGGGCAGCGTGCCCTGTGGCGGTGCGCTTGGGCGCTCGGGCTGGCAAGTCACCTGGTGGATGGCTCCCAGCGTCTCGGCCCGGCTGGCCGCCCGGGTGCAGCACTGGCTGAGGAGGGAGACGCTCTTCCCCAGCTTCCGGATGATGTCCTGGGCCTGCTGGTCTTCCTCGCACAGCGGCATCAGAGACTGCGCAGACAACAGAGGGTGAAGCCACACGCACAGGCCCCGTGCCACCCCTGCCCCCAGCCAGGACCACGCTCAGGGACCTGGCGACCTTGAAAACAAGCAGAAAAGATCAGGAGTTGTTAAGAGGGCGGCTGGGCAGGTGGCTCCGTGGTAGAGTGCTCGCCTCGCATGTAGGAGGCCCTGGGTTCGATTCCTCAGCACCCCATAAGCAGAAAAAAGCCAGAAGTGGTGCTGTGGCTCAAGTGGTAGAGCGCCAGCCTTGAGCTGAAGAGCTGAGGGACAGCGCCCAGGCCCTGAGTTCAGGTCCCACGACCGACAAAAAAATTAAATTAAATTAAAAAAATAAAGAAGTCAGGTACCCGCCGCTCACACTTGAGTTGAGCTCAGGACTTCACACCTGATGGACAAAGGCTCTATCCCCTCGAGACATACACCTTAGTCCTAAAGAACTTTTTTTCTTTTTTGGTTGGTCAGGGGACTTGAACTCGGGGCCTGGGCGCTGTCCCTCGGCTCTATCGCTCAAGGCTGGTGCTCTACCACTTGAGCCACAGCGCCACTTCTGGTTTCCTGGTTCATTGGAGATAAGAGTCTCATGGGCCTTCCTGCCCAAGCTGGCTTTGAACCGCGATCCTCCAATCTCAGCCTCCTGAGTAGCTGGGATGACAGGCGTGAGTGCCGGCGCCCAGCAGCTCAAACACATTTCTATCTCGTTATGGGTGCTCTCTGGGTCGTCCTGCTTTTCATCTGATCTTGCTTTTGTGCTTTCTAAGCAATTCACAAGACGGGGAGGCAGCACTCTGGACTTGGTGTGGGTCTCAGTGTTTCCAGAATCTTCCGGGCAAGCCATGAGAACGTGACACTAGCGCATGCGTACGCAGATTCCCACCTCGACCAGCTTCAGGCAGTGCGTGATCTCCTCCCTCAGATTCTCCTCGGCCAGGTCCCTGGAGCGCTCCTCCAGCTTCTTCCTCTTCTCCAGGGTAAACCAGTCACACTTAAACCCCAGGGACAGGCGGAGGAACTCTGCCTAGTGAGACGGGAGGATTCGATCACCTGAATTTACAACAGCAAAGCCAAGCCCCCACATCGCTGTCAGGACGCACCGACCGTGGGGGGACTGGGTCTGAGACGCTGGGTCTGAGACGCCATCCTAACTCTGCTACGAGTGGCTGGCAGAGATCGGGGGGATTACGGTTCCACACCAGCCGGCCAGGAGAAGTCCAAGAGACTCCATCTCAACAGACGAAGTCAGGGGTGGTGGCGCAGGCCTGTCACCCTTGCTCTTCAGGAAATGGGAGGATCGTGATTCCGGCAGCGCTGACCGGAAGGAAGGCCTTATTGCAAAATAACCAGTGCAAATAATAATAATGATAGTAATAATAATGATAATGGGGAAGGTAAGAGCACTTGCCTAATCTAACGCCTGGGGTTCAAGCCCCAGTTCTACCAAACGAGGATCCTATGAAGAGAAGGAAAAGCATCACCTCTGGACTCACCTCCACCTCCTTCTCGTTGGCAGACGTGCTGGGAGAGAACACAAAGACGGTATTCACACTGAGTTCCAAAGGAGCGGAAAAACCCGCCTAAAAGACAGCCCGGGGAAAGCACTTACTTGTCACTTGGCCTAAAGTTAACCGATTTCACGGCGGTCTCGGGAGCAGAGGAAACGTCAGTGTCTGCGAAGACGAGAAAAGATTATGAGGTTAAAATATTTCACTGTCGGGGCACCAGTGGCTCACGCCTGTAATCCTAGCCACTCAAGAGGCTGAGACCCGAGGATCTGGGGCAGGAAAGTCCATGAGCCACGCATCTCCAATGAGCCCCAGAAAACCCCAAGTGGAGCTGTGGTTCAAAGCGGTAGAGCGCCAGCCTGGAGCAAGAGAGCTCAGGGACAGCACCCAGGCCCTGAGTTCAAGCCTCAGAACCAGCGTCTAAAATAACTAAACGGAAGTGACCCTTTTTTCCAGTCCTGAGGCTTGAACTCTGGGCCTGGGCGCTGTCTCTGAGCTGCTTTTGCTCAACCACTTGAGCCACAGCTCCGCTTTCGGGCTGATTTCAAACTGTGATCTTCACAGCTCAGCCTCCTGGGTAGCTGGATAACTGCATGAGGCACCAGGCCCGGCGTTAGCAGTAACTTTCCTTCTGTCCTTTGAGAACATTTCTGGTCGAATATTGCCATCCCCTCCCTCATTTCCTCCCACTATCCCTTCCTTCCTCCTCCCTCCCCCAAGTCCATTTCTAAGAGAATTAATCAGAAATTGCTCCAGCCTGGCAGGCCTGGGTCTCCTAAGCGTCCCGTGCATGCGCTGCTTCATCTTAACTAGGAAGGAACAGCCACTCTTGCTTTGCAGATGTGGGCGCATTGACTTTTCCGTGGTCTATACCGCAGACGGGCCAGAAAACAGTGGAGCATTTATGAGCACTTGGTTTGGGGTTCACAAGAGAACCCAGCTGCTGCTCCTCAGGGACTGGGGATCAGTCAAGATCACGGCCATGCAGGTTTTCAGAACGGGTGTGTAATCCGTTCACCTCGGGTAGAAGGGCACGTTGCTTACCTCCTGCAGCACCTCCTTTGCCACGCACTTCTACTATTGGGGGCTCCTCTGGGATGTCCTAAAATCACAAGGGATACGTGTTTCTGTCCAGAGTAGAAAGCCTTCCTCAGCAAGCATCCCTCAAACTTCCTGTCCTCTTCGGACTCTACTTTGTCAAAAGCACCCTACGGGATTTCCAGGATCAAAGGGGGCTGGGGGGGGGGGGAGGAAAACCATACTTGCTAGGCCTGTCTAACCCTGCAGAACTACACCCAGCCTTGCTTCTACTGGGTAACCTTAGTGTCTGATTTTTTTTTTTCTGTCCCAACTGCCCCGTCATCGCGTTCCTCTCAATCTCGTTCCCCCACGGAGCTGATAGAATGGATCTTGCAAACGTTTTTGTCCAGGCTGGCCTTGAACCTTAAACCTCCTATTCTCAGCCTCTCCAGGATGACAGGTATAACATATAGCATCCAGACATATGAATCCTATTTTATTTCATGTTATTTTTGTGTTGGTTGTGGGGCCTGAACTCAGGGCCTGGGCACTCAGCTCTTCAGCTCAAGGCTAGTGCTCTACCACTTGAACCACAGCACCACTTTCTGCTTTTTCTGTGCATGTGGTGCTGAGGAATCGAACACAGGGCCTCAGGCATGCAAGGCAAGTGCTCTACCACTGAGCAACCTGCCCGCCCCGACCCATGGATCTACTTTAAGATTGATGATCAGTTATCATATAATAAATTTGTTTTGTGTATATGAGGCAGTCCTGGACTTGAACTCAGGATCTGGGTTCTCTGAGTCTCTTTTTTCTTTTTTTTTTTTGCTCAGGGGTAGTTAATGCTCTACCACTTGAGCCACACCTCTGGCTTTTTGGTGGTTACTTAGACATAAGAGTCTTATAGCACCTGGCTAATACGTTTATTTATATACAGAAAGGTTACAATAACTGGAGGGTTGTACTCTAAACCAGAAAAGCCAAAAGTGAAGGCCTCATCGTATGACGGTATTACGCTTTCTTCAATGAATGGGAAACTTTTAAAAGCTAAAGGTAATTTCTATTTTAAAAAGTCAGCAAGAACTTTTTCCTTGGCAGAGTTATTGATGCCTGATTTGTTTAATGCAATTGAAACAGGGGTTTCAGACATAATGATTTAGGCCGGGCACTGGTGGCTCCTGCCTGTCATCCCAGCTACTCAGGAGGCTGAGATCTGAGGATCACGGTTCAAAGCCAGCCCAGGCAGGAAAGCCTGTGAGACTCTGATCCACCATGAGCCACCAGAAAACCAGCCGTGGCGCCGTGGCTCAACGTGGTAGAGCACCAGCTTTGAGTGAAAGGACCTGTGTTCAAGCCCCATACCAACCAGTAACGATCCATAAATATATTCAAAAGACGTGGAAGTGAAATAAGAGCAGCTGAAATATACATAAAAATAGGGAATAGACAGTTAGAGTAAAATACACATAAAGGAAAAACGAGGGCCAGGGAGCCGGGCCGGGCCGTGGGCCCTGTCTCCGGCCTCGCATGGATGCTGGGCTGCTCGCTTCCTTACCAGCGGTGGCACTGTTTTGGTCTCTCCTGCTGCCTCCTGGTCGGCCTTCTCAGAAGGGCTGGTGCCTGCCCGAAAAGCAGACAAAATAAACGAGGGGCCCACGAGGAAGCAAAGGGTGGAGAAGGCAGAAGGGCAGCAGCCACAGAGGTCAGCCTGGCGCTTGCACGCTTGACCTCGAACTCAGAACCCGAGGGAGCAGGAAAGCCCTCCCGAGCTCCGCAGAGCTCCCCACACCAGCCACGCACCGCGGGCTCTGCCAGCCAAGGTGAAGGCCAACAAGGCCTTCATCTCTCAGAGAGGGCCTGCTGCCTTCCCGGCTGACCCCCTTACTGCCGACCCTGCGATCAAATCCCCATGAAGGGAGGAGGGAGGTGGGTCACTGGATGTCTTCCCAGCGCGGGGCTGACACACGGGACTACGGGCATCTTACCCCAGGCCTCGGCCCCGCAGGGTTCAAACGCCCAGCGGATGCTGGCGGCCACTGTGATGCCCTCCCCCCTCCCTCCTCCCCCCTCCCCCTCCCTCTCCCCCCTTCACTTCCCTCCATCCTCCCTTCCTTCATTCTGAGCTACATAATTTCCCCCTTCATATCCTAACTAACAGAATGCAATTCATATTGTATATCATATGATTACGTGATAAAATATAACATTAATATGTTAATATAATAACGAATATAACTATAATAATGTATTAATATTTATATCATATTTGTATACAATACAGATTGCATACAAATAATAGACTAACATTGTCTAATACTATATTAATATATCAATGCATTAACATATTGATTATAATAGAAATAATTATTATATTAATATAATTAGTAGAATAGTAACCACCAGTTAATGATTAATACTAATTAAGGTAATTAATAGTGATAATTATAATATCGTATCATAATTATAGCATTATATAATGTATAAAATAACATAATTATTATATATTAATATATTGTATAATATACTGATTGTAATATATAATTAAAATAATGTATAATGTAATAATTATATTAATAATTATTCACAATAATAAACAATTATAATAATGTATTAATACTATATCACATATACTAATCTTTTATGAATAGTATTTTATAATATAAAACATATTTATATGCTGCATAGCATATATCTTTTATACTATGTATGCAATGGAATATATTTATAATATCTAAATATTTCTGTATATTTATATTAATATAAAATGATATTAATATAACAAATAATATAATAAATGTACGAATCGTTCGTGTGATATAATCACATCTGGCTCAAAATGCCTTTATAGGAATTACTTCTCAAAATCAAGACGCATGGCAAGCGTCCGGCTGCGTGTCGAGGGCAGTTGTGTCTCCAGCTTTCCTGGCTGGGCGCCCTGGCCCCACTCGGCCCTGGGCCCTTACCCATGGCGGGGGGCGCTGACTCGGCCTCCTCCTCTTTCTCACAGGCTGATTGGCCGTCAGGGTGGCTGCAAGCCATGGGCACACCGTCTTCCGGGCACTCTGCGGGCAGGAGGAAGTGCATGTAAAGTTTGCCCCAGAGAGGGAGAGCGGGTGGGTGGGGAGGGACTTGGCTGCTGCTCTATTTGCAAGCCTTGGAGAGCAGGTGCACGGCTGTCCGGCTGTCAGCCAGCCCGGAGCGCAGGTGCACGGCTGTCAGTCAGCCCGGAGCGCAGGTGCACGGCTATCAGCCTCGCCAGCTTCTGCCCATCCCAATCCACTCACCCCTGGGCGTCCGCGTGTCCTCGGTGGGCTCTGGGAGGCTGTCCCTGCAGGAGCACACGGGAATTAGAAATGTGAGCACCACCCAAAGGCAAGCCAGCCGCACCCGCACAGACTTTCCCCCGCACAGCCCACCCCGCAAACCTGGCTGGAGGCTGGCTCCCGGGCTTCAGGGGTTCCATACCATCTTCCTGAGGGGGGACAATAAAAATGAAAACGCTGAGCTACAGCGCCCGCAGCTGCTGCTTCTGGGTTCCAGACACACCTGTCTTCCTGTACCTGTCAAAGCCTTCATAGAGAGGTCAGGGGAATCCGGTGGATCAGAAACTCTAAGCTCTGCATCAACGCCTCACAGACGCGCCAGCGGCCAATCGGAAGGGTATTTACAAGTGTGATATGTAGAGGGAAGACGATACATCCAAAGGCCAAACAAGTTCTCAACCCAAAGGCCAGGTCGAGTTGGTGTCATGGACTTCGGTGGTGTTTTGTTTAAGTCGATGATTTTTGCATACACATGAACCCACATTCTGCTGATGGGAAGATCCGCCAGATTTGACAAGCGTATGAAAACATTCCTCAGGGTTCTAGCTGCCCAAATTAACACATTTAAACAACACCTTAATCCATACCTCATAAGTCTGAAGGATGATATCTAAGTTAGCCCCTAGGACTCGGCACTTGAAAAGAACTTTACAAAACTAGGGTTCTAGCCTGCCAGGGCAAGTGTGTGTGTGTTTTAAGTTTTATTTTAACCTTAAAATGCATTAAGAATTTCTAACTTTAGGACATTAGAACTGTTAGTATACATACTGTCTTTCAACAACAACAGTGGTAATTCCAGGCTTTAATGGCTCCCGCCTGACATCCTAGCAACTCAGGAGGCTGAGAGCTGAGGATCCTGGTTCAAAGCCAGCCCAGAAAACCAGAGGTGGAGCTGCGGCTCAACATGGTAGAGAGCTAGTCTTGGGAGAGCATCTAGGCCCTGAGTTCAAGCCCCATGGCCAACAAAGAAACAACAAAAAATGGTAGTTTTGTTCTAATAAGGTCAGCTAATAACTCTCTATTATTACATATTTAGGATAACCTATGAACACTTAGTAAATCAAAACTGAAACCAGCAAAGACAATACAAAAATAATGATAAATAAATAAATATATATATATTCCATAAAGTATACACTTATATTCCATAACCAAATGTGGAACTTCTTATTAATGGCACAATTAAAAACTGATTTCAGCCCGGCACTGGTGGCTCACACCTGTCATCCCAGCTACTAAGGAGGCTGAGATCTGAGGATCACAGTTCAAAGCCAGCCTGGGCAGGAAACTCCATGAGACTCATCTTCAATAAATGGCCAGAAGTGGCGCTGTGGCTCAAGTGGTAGAGCGCTCGCCTTGAGCTGAAGAGCTGAGGGACAGCGCCCAGCCCAGAGTTATTATCTGATATAATACAAACCAGCAGCCTGAGTCTGTATAAAATATTAACATTTACCAAAGCTCTTTTTTTATGTATTATCTAATTCTTCCCAAACCTTATGCGGTGAGTTTTGTTTGTTTAGTGCCAGTCCTAGGGCTTGAACTCAGGGCCCGGGTGCTGTCCCTTAGCTTTATCTTTCAAGGCTGGTGCTCTACCACTTGAACCACAGCTCCACTTCTGGCTTTCTTTTTGCTGGTTCAGTGGAGATAGCATCTCCTGGATTTTCCTGCCCAAGCTAGTTTTGAATCATAATCATCAATGGCAAGGTTTACAGGCGTGAGCCACCAATGCCTGGCTATTTAAAAAATGTAAATGTTGAAGGGACAAATAATAATGGCACCTACAGGGTACAATCAAGCACTGTGATAGATGCATGCAGTGTGGAATGATCAAAGCTAGGTAGCTAGCACGCCATTGCTTCAAATGCTCTTGGCTTGAAGGGTCTTTGGTCAGATATCTGGGATCAGAACATTGGATGGCATCAGTTTAAGTTCACAAATTTTCATCAAATGAAAAAGTCTGGGCCTCTCCTAACCCTGGAGAGATTACAGGTGGTCAAGGGGAACAAATACGAAAATAGATCCTTTTATCATTCATGAGCAACTTTCCACAGGGGGACAGAACCAACAGAGTATTAAATTCTGGGGAGCAATGGCTCACGCCTATAATCCCAGCTACTCAGGGGACTGAGATCTGAGGATCGTGGTTCGAAGCCAGCTCAGAATGAAAGTCCCGGTGAGATTCTCATCTCCATTGAACCACCAGAAAACCAGACGTGGAGCTGTGGTTCAAGTGGTAGAGCACCAGCCTTGCATAAAAGAGCTCAGAGACTGAGCCCAGGCCCTGAGTTCAAGCCCCATAACTGACAAAAAAAAAAGAGAGAAAAATTCAGGGGAGAAATTGTACCTTATTTTCTGTAGGTCATTAAATAATGATGGTCCTCTTTGTATGGTATTAAAAAATTATATCAGTAATGATCAGTTTTTATTGTATTTACTTTTATATATCGTATTCAATATATTATATAGTGTTATATAGCATATGTTTTACAACAATTATATGATACATTATTAGGTATTACATACCTTATTTGCATGTCACATATCTACCATACGGCCTTATACATGTTATTGTATTCTATTACTTATGTTATTGTATTTTACTATATTTTTATCCACCTGTGTTCAGACATGTGTATAAAAGGAAGCTAAGACAATTGGAGAAAGTTAAAGAACCTTAAGTTTCTTTGGATAGTGTACTTTACCAAACAAAAATCAACAAGAATCTGTTTCTTAATAAAAAAAGCAAGCGCATTTTGCATTTCCTACATAGAAGAGTTGTTGTGCGGTGTCATGAAATACCATTTCCTCCTGCCCGGTGACTTAAGAGCTAACTCCCTAACAGGACATGATCTTCATGTTGAGATTTAAGAAGTAGGGAAGAAAATAGTGTGAGTATTCCAGTTTGGTTGACTTGGTTTCCAAGCTGGAGGAAAAGGGAACACACCGTTTTGTACATGTATACAGAAAGACATCTAATTATTATCCTATTTAAAATCAAAACAATAACTTCAGAAAGCAAAGGACTCACTCCTGATGTCACCAATGCCCACAGTTCTCCAAAGAAACCTTCTTTTAACGAAGAATGCTGTTTTGGTTTTGGTTTGGCTTTTTTTGTGCCAGTCCGGAGCTCGAACTCAGGGCCTGGGTGCTGTCCCTGAGCTTCAGTGACCAAGGCCAGTGCTCTTGAACCACGGCTCCACTTCTACTGTTTTAGAAGTAAACTAGAGATAAGAGTCTCTCTCATGAATTTTCCTGCCTGGGCTGGCTTCAAACCGTGATCCTCAGATCTCAGCCTCTTGAGTAGCTAGGATGACAGGCAGGAGCCACCTGTGCCCAACTAGAAAAATGCTTTCGATAAGTGTGAAATATTTACAGATCAAACTACAAAGAATCCTGTGATTTGGAAGAAATCTATTATTATTATTGTTGTTGTTATTGTTATTATGGTGCCAGTCCTGAGGCTCAAACTGAAGACCTGAGCTCTGTCCCTGAGCCTCTTTTGCTCAAGGCTAGCACTCTACTACTTGAGCCACAGCACCACTTCTGGCTTTTTCTGTGTCTGTGGTACTGAGGAATCGAACCCAGGACTTCAGGCATGCGAGGCGAGCACTGTACCGCGGAGCCACCTGCCCAGCCCAGCTGTACATTTCTTCATGATTCTGCCAGAGCTACAAAGCAAGAAAGGGAAAGGGATGGCAGACTATCTAAGGGAATGGCCGATCATTCCGCTTCCTACGTTTCCAGAGCTCAGAAAACAAGCTAATTCTCTCCAACCTGTCTCAACGTGAGCTTGTCCCGCATTTGCTCTAAAGACGCTCCTCTAAGCAGACTCGGGAAAGCTGTGTTTGCTTTTACACGCAGGACTGTAGTTAGCGTCAGCTCGTGCGATTCCTGGGGTGTCTGTGATCGGTGCTGGTTCTGTCCCCACAAACCTGCCCCGTGTCAAGTCCAGACCCCAAACCACACACCTGGCTTTGGAGGCTGGACAGACGCAGACCATGATCACGGAAGGGAAAGTTCTGCCGTGAGTCTGACTTACCTGGGGAAGACGCGGAGGGCCAGCCGGGCCCTGGCGCAGCGCAGGAAGAATGCGCTCGCCCTGTGGGTCATTCAAATACCCCAACACCCAAATAGCCAGAGATTTACATGACGCACCCTCCCACCCGCTGGCCGCCCTGCAGCTGCGCCCCATAAAGGGTGGGGCGAGCACAGAATGAGAGACAGACAGATGAGGGAGAGACAGACAGACAGACAAGGGAGAGAGCTAGAGAGAGAGAAAGAGACAGTGAGAGAGACAGACAGACAGACAGACAGACAAGGGAGAGAGCCAGAGAGAGAGAAAGAGACAGTGAGAGAGACAGACAGACAGTCAGACAGACAGACAGACAGACAAGGGGGAGACAGACAGACAAGGGAGAGAGCCAGAGAGAGAGAAAGAGACAGTGAGACAGACAGACAGACAGTCAGACAGACAGACAGACAAGGGAGAGAGTCAGAGAGAGAGAAAGAGACAGAGAGACAGCAGTCAGCGAGAGTTGGAGAGACAAAGGCATGAGAAGAAAAAGAGGAGAAAGAGAGAGAGAGAGAGGAGAGAGGTGCAGGCAGCAAGAGACAGACAGACAGACAGACACACAGACACACAGGGAAAGAGGAGAGAGAAAGAGAAAGAAAGGAGAGAGAGAATGAGAGGAGGGGAGGGGAGGAGGGGGGGAAGGGAGGGAAGAGTTAGGAGCAAGGCTGAGTTAATAAAACCACACACACACCACACACACACACACACACACCACACAAACACACACCACACACACACACACCACACACACCACACACACACACCACACACACACACCACACACACACACCACACACCACACACACACACCACACCACACACACACAGACACAAAC